CCAATTCTCTTTTTGTAAGAAGGTTTAATCAATATTAAAAATTTATTTTACATATAATCCTTATTCTTTCTATATTTTAAAGTAAGAACCACAACCATTAATGTGACACTCTAAGATTGCGTATTCTTTAATTTTGAATTGTGATTGAGTTTTGTCTATCCCTTATTGATAGGTAGATAAAAGATTGACAATGAATGATAGATATATAAATGAAGATTAAGATGTCTTTGTATGTGACAACTCTGCATTGTGGGATTTTAGGTTAGTACTTTATTTCAGGATCCTGATTGAAAACTAAGTCTTTTTTTTTTAGGATTTAGCCTCGATGATCAGAGATCGTCTTGTTTAATTAGTCTGATTAGATCATGTTTCGACGGTAGCTAACCAAGTTAATTCATGCAAGCCAATTAGTCTTGAAATATTTCACAAAAAGATAAAGTTGATATTTTAGTCTCGTTCTTTTAAAATTCAAAAATTTCCAAAGTTTCAATTTTCTTTTATTTATTTAGTTGCCTATTATTATTTTATAGGACTGGAGTTTTAAAATCTTCTGTCAAATTGTTTTGTTTGTTTTAGATTTTTGGGGTCTAGCATTTGGAAATTTACATCTTGGGTTTGGGCCTTGGGAGGACAGCTCATTTTCTTTCAAAAAGCCCCATATAAATACTCCCCTCCCCTTTTTAAAACTCATCATTCTTCAAAAAGTTCCAGTCTTTCGTTCTCTCTCTCTAACTTCATCACCTTCCAACCAATTTCTTCTCCTTGCAAAAACTCAAACTTTCTGCTGTTTTGAGACTAATTCGAGATTTTCGGTCAAGAAAATGTATGTTTTAAGAGTTGTTTTACTCTCTTTTAGTTGTTCGATTTTCTTTATCTTCCTACTCGATTCTTCAAATCAATTTATRAGATTTAAAGAGGAGAGATTATTCATCAAAGACCTGCATGTGTCATCATTGGATGATAATCGGTGACCCAAGATTCTTTAGTCTCAAAGAAAGAAGGAGAGAGTTCTTGCATGAGAGGTCGTGTCGTACTCTCGGATGATAGTATCTTGCATGCATCTTTAAATCAAATTTCTCATTCTTGAAAGCTTGCTGGAATCGGAAATTTTATTTGTTTTATTTCTTCTCTGGAATTTATTTAAAGTTGATGTTTTTCGTGTTAAAAGTTTTGATTCGAGAACGTTGAGCTCGAGATCCTCTCCATCATTGATACCATGTTTGAGCATGCAAACAATTTTGGGAGGCGTATGACTCAAGGTTGAAGAATTCTTGAAAGGAGTGTTAAACCCACTCAAAATCTCTTGATTTTGATAGTTGACGGTTGTCATCATTGTTTTGGGATGACATTTAATGATGTCATTAATAAGGTTTTAGAAGGTTCCTTTTTATTTAAATATTAAAAAAATATCGGCTTTATTTTGTGAGAATAYTTGGTGGCTTTGCATTGGAATCAACTTTGCCCTACCTAAGTCTAGGAAACCATTAAGTTAATATAGCGCTGGTTGGTCTGTCAGGAAGTTCGAGCAAGCATAGCAAGTCCCTAGAGGAAACACACGGATATTCGCCAAACTTGTGAGTTCTCACGGCCCCACTTTTAAAGCTTTTTATATGTTTTATGGGGGAAAAGCATGAGATTGAGCAAACTTTGCATGTTTATGTTTTATGATACTTGTGACTAAAGAACTGTTTAGCCGATGCTTTGCTCAAAACCGTTGGACTAAGGAACTGCTTAGTCAAGTTTTACTTGGAACCTCTTGGGCTAAAGAACTGCTTAGTCGGGTTGTTATATTTTGTTTGATAACTATTATTGCACTTAGAATAAATGCTAAATTGAAGTGCTTGAGAGTATATGTTTCCAAATGAAAGTCTCCGTCCGTAAACGCTACTTGTTAACTTGGGTACATTCCCGGGCCGTGGTATTGTGGATAGC